TGTTTCATACGTGAGTGCATAACTGGATTGCTACTTAAATAGGTAGCACCAAGATTGTCACAATAAACAGTGGGGGAGCCAATGCAGGAAACACCAAGTTCAGTCAGCAGATGTTTAACCCATACCATCTCAGAGGAAGCAGCAGCAAGAGCACGATATTCCGCCTCAGTGGAGCTTCGGGCGACAGCACGTTGTTTGGTAGCCTTCCAAGAGATTGGATTTGAGCCAAGAAAGATAATATACCCAGTGGTTGAAATATAAGAATCGCGATCCCCCGCCCAATCAGAATCAGAGAACCCATGCAAGGAGAGTCTGGCCTGGGGAGTAAGAAGTAAGCCACAATGTAAGCTCCCTTTAAGATAACGAAGAACACGTTTGACAGCCTGCCAGTGAGATTCTGTGGGGCAATGAAGAAACTGAGACAAGCGGTTCACTGAAAAGGAGATGTCTGGACGAGTGAGGGACAAGTACTGTAAGGCACCAACAATTTGCCGATAGACAGTAGGATCAGTGAGAGTGTTTCCAGGACCTTGCTGGAGAGAGCAGGAGGAAGCCATGGGGGAAGCGACGGCATTAGCTTCAGACATGTTGGCACGGTGGAGAATTTCTGTTATGTATCGATGTTGGGTGAGAAATAGCCCTGCTGGAGTATGAATAGCTTCAATCCCTAAAAAGAGATGTAAGTTACCAAGATCCTTCAAGGAAAAACGAGCACCAAGATTAAGAATCAACTGGTCAATGAATGGTAGGGAGTTGCCAGTGATCAAAATATCATCCACATAGACGAGAAAATAAACAATAATGTCAGATTGCCAAAGGATAAAAAGAGAGGTGTCAGATCGGGAACACTGAAGTCCTTCAGCAAATATCCCTTCAATTCACGAAACCAGGCACGAGGAGCCTGTTTCAAGCCATACAGAGACTTCTTTAAACGACATATATGATGAGGAAAAGTTTCATCAACAAATCCAGTAGGCTGTTGCATAAACAACTCTTCATCCAAAGTGCCATTAAGAAAGGCATTGTTAATATCAAGTTGGCGAACAGGCCAGTGATTACTTACCGCAACTAAGAGGACAGTGCGAAGAGTTACAGGCTTAATGACAGGACTAAAAGTCTTAGAGTAATCAAAGCCAGGTTGTTGGTGATAGCCTTTGGCTACAAGTCGCGCCTTATAGCGCTCAATACTACCATCAGCACGCCGCTTCAAACGAAAAACCCACTTACAGCCGATCACATTCTGAGCTGGAGAAGGAGGCACAAGATCCCAAGTACCTTGCCGAACAAGGGCAGTGAATTCGTCGAACATGGCTTTCCTCCAATTGGGATCCTTCAAAGCCTGAGATACACATGTAGGTTCTACGGGTTCGATGGGTGGGGATTTGGTTGCAAGAAAGAGGTGCTTGGGTTTGAAGATCATGTTTTGAGAGCGGGTGACCATGGGATGGGTGCGTTGGGGCGGCACAATGGCTACGGGGGAAGCTGAGGTAGTGGAATCACTAGAAGCAGTAGGGGCTGGCGACAGAGTGGAAGGTGGTGGGATGGGGGATTGGGTTGAAGAGATAGGTGGAGAAGGTAAAGAAGAAGAGGTGCATAGTGGTGAATCGGAAAGAGGAAGTCGGACCATGGGCTGCAATGGGCTTGCGGCATGTGAGGAAGGTGGTGTGGCTGGTGGAGGGGATGACTGGGTGCCGGTCCGGGCCGAAGAAGAGGAACGCGGAAGGTGGATCACTTTGGGTGAGTCCATCGCTAGAGACAATTGCTGCTTGTCGGGCCGTGAAGGTGATGGAGATGAAGTGACCTCAAAAGAGATTGGCATTTGTGCAGGCAGTAACCAATCTTCCAAATTGGGCAAAGATGGAACAGAATGATTTTTAAATGGAAAGAAACGTTCATCAAACACAACATGACGAGAGTAAAAAACCTTTTTCGACTCAAGATCAAAACATTTATATCCCAGATTTTCGAGAGAGTAACCCAAAAATAAACATCGTCGAGACCGAGATTGAAGCTTATTACTGGTATAAGGACGTAACCAAGGATAGCAAGCACAGCCAAAAATTTTCATTTTTAAATAATTGGGTTTGAGATGAAATAATTTTTGAAATGGTGATTGAAAAGAAACTGCAGAAGACGGCAGACGGTTGATAAGATAGACAGCTGTAGTTACGGCATATGACCAAAACCGAGTTGGAAGATTTGCAGTATGCATAAGAGTAAGTGCAGTTTCAATAATTTGCCGATTACGCCGCTCACTAATTCCATTGAGTTCGGGTGTGTATGGTGGAGTGGTAAAATGAGAAATCCCATGGTTAGAAAAATATTGACGAAGACTGACATACTCACCGCCCCCATCAGAATAAAACGACTTTATATTATTGCCAAATTGTTTTTCTACAAGAGTTTTAAATTTAGGAAAAATAAGAGAAACCTCAGATTTTCTTTGTAAAGGATATATCCACACATAGCGAGTAAAATGGTCTATAAAAAGCACAAAATATTTATTGCCATCAATTGAAGAAACTGGGGCAGGACCCCAAACATCCGAAAAAATAACATCAAGAGGAGCATGACTTTGAATAGAAGAATTACCAAAAGGTTGTTTGTGACTTTTAGAGCACAGGCATGACTCACAAGATGCAAAACCAGATTTATTAAAACTAGGTAAATGAAAACTACGAAGAACTAATTGCAAAATTTTAGAAGAAGGATGCCCAAGTCGCGAATGCCAATTTAATGCTGAGGCACGTTCACCAACAAATGCCATGGAAGGAGATTTAGAATTTCCCTTGTCGGGAATTTGGTAAACTCCCTATTTGTTTGGCCCTCGAAGCAGAATTGCCCCCGTGCGACGATCCCTCACTTGAAAAAAGTTGGGATGAAATTCAACAAGGGTATTAGTGTTCTTGCAAAGTTGAGATACAGAGATAAGGTTGCGAGAAGCTTGGGGAACACATAGAACATTATTTAAAGGAATAGAAGAGTTTGGTATAGTTGTATTACCTATGTGTGTAATCTCTAGGCCTGAACCATCGCCAATTTGGAGTTCCTCAGGTCCATCATACTCAGAGTGTAAGGCAAGGTTTGCAAGATCATTTGTTATGTGATTATTGGCACCAGAATCAATCAACCATTTGTTGCGAGAAAGTCCACTGGAAGAAGCATAATTTGCCATCGGTGCTTGTGCTTGCACATGAAAATATGGACAGTGGTTTGCAAAGTGTCCAGGTTGATTGCACAATTGACAGTTGAAATTTCTGGCATTGTTGGGCCTCCAATTTCCATTCTTCCTTCTATTAAATTGCTGCCTAGGCTGATTATAATATTTGTTGGGCTTATTCCATGAATGAGAAGTAGGCTGCTGTGATGAACCATATCCTGCATAGATCGGCTGATTAGTAACAAAATTATTGGATGGAAAATTTGGTCCTGATGTTGAACAAAATGAGTTAGGTATCCTAAAGTTTCTCTTTTGTGCAGCGGCATGATGGGCGACAACTGGCGCTGCCTCAAGTCTCCGTTCTTCTCGACGCAAGGCTTCCTCATGTGCCAAGAGTCTATCCTGAAAATCTTCAAATGGCAGAGGCGTCTCACGAGCTCGAATGGAGGCGCAAAACTCCCGGAACTCAGGACCAAGGCCGTTCATGACGTGAACGGACAATTCCTCATCTGAAACCGGTCGGCGCATGTTCTCCAACTCATCAGCAATCATCTTGA